ATCAGTCGTGCACAAGGATGAGTGAGACATTCGCAGATGACCTTCAATTAAATCCGACGGAATCTCAATCGAACAACAGATTGGTGAACCCTTGCACAGTAAATACATATATCTAATTTATTTTGTAGAGAAATGTACATATATTTAATTGACGATCGAAAAATAGCATAAATATATATCTATCTAATGTTATATTCATGTTTATCAATTATAAGCGAACTTTAGAGATCCATATTTTGACTTCAAAATTTAATTTCTCTTTAAGCGTGGACTAAAGTTAAAATTGAAATGATAAATGTTGGACGACTTTTACTAAATGCAAGATATTTTAACTTACAATACTAATTCTAAATAAAAATCCTACAACCCTGCTATTCCATATGTGAAATTCTAAAGATATGTGGTAAAAATCGATTCGATGTATATTCCAAAGACGATTGCAGTCATATTGGTGGTAATAAGGCGGAAAAATGAGCATGTTATCAAACCAACATATATTGCAAAGAGGATGTTTATTATGCACAAACCCATAGGTGAAATTCGCATAGAAAATCAGAAAACGATCGAAAACATAACAGAGAGCTACAAAATAATCGATAAAGAATAATTTTTTTTATCAGATATATCTTCCGGGACAACTTATGAATTTCTTAACTTCGAACACCTTTGGTTTTCTGTAAAGGATGGCAAAATGATGAAGAATCCAAATATCTGCGAAAAAAATGTCATCAATTATATCATATGACAATATGCAGAATAAATAAAATGAAGTTCTAGTGAATATATAACTCAGATTACCTTAAGGATACTTCAGAGAAAAGGATAAAGACACAGTTGAGGTGGAAAAAACAAATTCAAATACCCTCCAAGCTTCGTCTAAAATAAAAACAAACGTGTAATCGAAAATTTAAATCACCGATGATTATATACATTTGGGCGACCCAAAAAAATGAACATTAAATTAAAAGAAGAAGAGTTGTTAGATTGCAGGAGATAATGATGATAGAGGAACCATCACGAACAAACTATTGCAAGAATAAATAAAATTATTCAACTTTTTTTTTCTGCGACTCACCAACGGTCATCTTTTTGTTCTTATAATTATTGTACAAATCATAAGCGGAATCCAGTGAGCCTCAAATTAATTGCAGAACTTCTCGAATTCTTCTTGCTGGGTCGATGGGATTGCTTATGAGTTTTCGATTTTCTCCACTGTTGCGGAAAAAAAAGAGGTATTTATGTTGGAGGAGGGTCAATTGTCAAAGGAAATGCAGTTATATACAATAAGAAAAAAAACCAATGAGAAGTTGAGGGAGAAGAAGTGGGTAGTTTTACGGAGAGTGGGCCAAAAAAAAAAGGTCAATATATTTTTTTTGTGCAATTATTCAATAAATACGGAGAGTGGGTAGTTTTTCGGTTGCTGCCCGACTTTACGAATTTGTTCGGAATGCTGAAATTGAGCCGTAGCCCTCCATTCTTCCGCTTTTCGATTCACGTCCGCCATTTTCTTCATTAGCTTCTCTTCCATATTTGATCTCATTCTCTGTATTTTCACCTGATTAAAATTAAAATAAAATTAAAATTAAATAAAACCCCACATTTATATTAATTATTACACACACACATTTATATACATATATATGTAAGCAGCACGGGGGAGTAAAAGGGTGTCTTTGTCTGGGTGGTGGCTCAAGATAGAAGACAAAGCCAAACA